GGTAACCGCTGCGGATCTAGAAATTGTTGGTGCTTTGGCTCCTACGCTCACTCCCCCTATGACGAAACTCTTCCAGCGCCTCTGTGACCGCGCGCGGAGTCACATCCTGCAGGCAAAGTGGCGTCAGAAATACTACGCCGACGCTCGCCGTAGGGCTGTGGAATATAAGGTGGGCGACCAAGTCTGGCTTAGTGCCAAACACTTGCCTGCTCTTAACCATTGTTCTAAGTTTGAACCCCGATACCGGGGGCCCTTCACTGTGACTGAACGCATTGGCACGGTCGCTTACCGTCTTGCTCTGCCCCCAACATACGAGGGACACAATGTTTTCCATGTTTCACAATTGGTTCCCCATCACCCCCGTGATTCCGCTTTGGTTCCACGCGAAGCTCCGGTTGGTTGGCCTCCAACTCGCGATGACGCCGGCAACCTTACGGACCAGTATCTTGTCGACTATATCATGGACCAAAGAGGGACTGGAGAGGAAGCCCAATATCTTGTTAAGTGGAGGGGCGCCCCCGAGGAACGGGCCACATGGGAACCCGCTCACCACTTGGCAGGGTGCCCCGCCTTAATTCGGGCCTGGCAACGTCGCAAGCGCCGACGCCTTCCATCCTGATGACGATAGGCTCCTTCTTCTTCTCTTCCCGCTGCTCTCGTCCTTCATATTTACACGTTCGCCGCCCATTCTCGTCCGAAACGGGGGGGGAATGGGTGCTAGAGCACCTTACAATCCAAGACTCAACCAGCTGTTAGAGTGGTTGGAGAATGATTCCGCCTCCGCAACTGCTGAGACTCGTGAAGATCAGCCTAATTCTTAGTCAAAGATGGCTGATCGGCTAGACGTGATAGCCAAGGGCATACTCCCCTGACGTGCGGGACGTCCTGAGGTTATCGCGATGCGGGATGAACGGAGAGCTGGAGCAGAAGGAAGGCCGAGAACATCGACAAAAACAAAAAAATATATAATAATAAATAAATTGGCCAAGCGGTTTCGGTTCGCTAGCAGGGGGGGAAGTTGTAGTGCCGGGCACTACAATTGACCCTCGTTGCTACACCCGAAGACTTTCTAACGCGGAAAGCATGAGTAATATCGAATAATATTAAGGCATAAAGCACCGTGGATAGTTGAAAACCATAAGAGAGAACAATGGGCTCATTAGCCCGCACCAGGTGCGAGTTTGGTTGCGATTTTGATCGCGAGGTTTGGTGCCGCGACGCGACTCGGGCACTGATCCTCGGCGAAGGTCAGCTTTCAGTTCTATTATTCTGGGTTCTTGCACCTCAATAATATGAACTCAACTGTATGAAGATTTTCAAGGTATTTCTTAGTAGTCGTCTATTGTCAGGTACCTTTGACCGACTGAGCCGAGCGTCCGCCGAGTCGGGCTCGCCAAGGGACGTACGTAGTAACAGTGAAGACCGCTGTTCACTACAATGGGCCTTCGCTGTGAGAATAATGAAGTGCATCGAGCTTCTTTATCGAGTCCAGCGTCCCTTTCATCAAGCTCCAATATGTTCCCTATACGTCAACAGACAGTTTTAGCGAACGCGCGCACATTTACTGTTACGGAATATAGCGGCCCAGTAAATGTAGGATACACCTGAGCATGGCAGGAATATCTGCCTTTCCTTCCGACCCTGCGACCTCCGTCCAGGGGCGCTGGCTGCGTCGCCGTATTTTCTGCAAGCAATAACTTTTTTCCCAAGCCGCAAGCAGGCCTAAATGCAGCCTTTTCATGGCGTTATTTTTTATTTATGTAAAAATTCCAAGCGTGCCCCCCGAAGTACAGTTACAGCTGCGGCGAGGTTAAGGCCCACTTCATCTTCGCAACCACACTACATCGGCGGTGAGCTGCGCTGAGTATCGTGAAGGCAAGAATAATTTGTCAGTATCATGCGTTGCAGTGTCATGCTTTATCGGTAGCAGATGCCTACGATCTGCCAACCACAGATGCTTCCTAATATTCAGGCGGCGCCTGGCAGCTAATCGTCGCCACACAGTCCCCGGGCAACCACTCGCCTCCACACAAGGCAGTTGGACTCGCGAGATATGCGGCCACCAAATATTACTGCAGGCTCACAGAAACGTGTTGACGCAGGCAAGGCCAAGGTTTTCAAGGGCCATCGTGCTGCCGTGTGAGGGATGATGATGACCACTCAACGCGCCTTGAGAGGCGACGAACAGTCTCTCGCTTCCTCCAAGATATAGACATACAGCAAATTTTAAGCTCTATCATGACTGTGGAGCGGCCTGATTCTACTCGTTCTAGCATTGCCAAGACCCCGAGAAACGTGCCGTTCTCCTTTGCCGCGAGCGAAGAAGAAAACTTTCTCGGCCCAGTGCGGGAACAGATAGTCCCTCCTTGCAACTTTGTCAACGAGGCAGCGCACCTCGACAGGAGGCAAACAAAAACTTTGCCTGGCACATATGAAGGGCCTTACCACATGGAGGAGACCGCGCTCTGCCAACAGCCAGAAACGCGCCCCTTGCGAGCCGGCGAAGAGGAAACAAGGCGGTGCTTCTCATAGTATCTTCTGAAAGTCTCTGCTGCCGCGCATCCCCAGCATATTCTCTCATTGAAGAGAAGATGAGTATTTACCGATTAAAGCCTCGCAAGCTGCAGCGTAATTGATTCTTCCATGCAGAGACAGGCTTGCCGACTGGCCGAACAATGGCTGAAGATGCATGCTCCTGTAAGATAGAGAGACGAAAAGCTTGCGCAGCAGACGTACCTTAAGAAAATAAAATAATATCATGCCGTTTATAATGCGAAGTTTATTCGGCATTTAGGATGTCAGTCAGGCAAAACATGGGCACTGCAAGGGGGCGCTCATATTACGCCAGCACTTCTTTTGATCGCGCCGGGAGCACGCTCAAAGCGGCGCTTTTGCGACGCAGCCATTGTCTCACCAACCGACCAGCATTGGTGGACCACATTTACGCTATGCCAAAATTAGTTCTGCATATGCTGTAGTAAGCCTGGTGCTTGCTTCTGACGGCAGCATCCTAGATTCCCAGCTACATGTTAAATGAGGTGCCGAATGTAGTACCTTCGCCTTGCCTGCATCTAACCAAAGCTGCGTTATAGCTCTCCTTTACAATGCAGAGCTTTTTTCAATAGCTAGAGAAAGATCTGTGCCAGCCATAAATCTAATGGCGCTGGTCCAGTACTCTACGCGGACTGAGCGCTAAAACAATGTCGGCTAGGTCACCAACAATTCTGCCCTCAATCACTTGACAGTCGTACAACTATTCTGCCTTTCTCTGCTATTTACCGTAGGCTATAGTTCCTGTAGCTAAGACGCATACCATTACACACTGTGGCGCAGTGACGGCCACACATCGAGGATCGCAATGGCCTGATTCGTGGGAAGACATGGGATCTGCCATTCCCGGGGAATTCGCTCTACGAGCACTGCCGACTTTTTGACTTTCTGCGCCGAACAGTTGAGAGAGCAGTTTTAGTTAAACCTGCTTCAATCTGCTGCATGTTTTGTTATCGAGTGAAATTAGTGGTGGCAATTCAACAGCCGCGCCGGTATGGATGAAAATCAGCATACGCACAAACGGCGTCTCACACAAGGCAAGGTCAAGTTCAGCAGGTTTTGCCTCCTTGATCTATCAGTAGATACTTCCACTGGTAACTACCGAATCAGGTGCACGAACTTCCACTGATCATCAACGCACGCAATCAATGATCACTTCTTCAGACGTAACCTTGTCATACTCTGGAACCACCTTCTTCAACACTGAAGGATAAGGGCAACAATAATGGCACCGGGAGCCTAAGCAAAAGCGAAAAACAAACTCTAGGGCGTGTTTTTTGCATAGTGATGGCGCAGAGTATGACGATTCGTTAAGGCTAGGCTACAGACAAGCCTTGGCAGTCTGTCGACTCCTGCAACATCTCACATTGCCTTATGCAACAGCGCAGCAGCCCTGAAGCCATCTACGCTTGAGCAGCGGTCGGTAGCGACACAGGCTAGCCAATGAGAAACTGCGGCTACTTAGCTTATGTGCGTCAATTCAACACGATACCCATGCTTCATTCTCTAAAACCAGTTGTACATTCATGCCTGATGTAGGGAGAGCTGCACAGAGGCCGCAAGAGCGCTAAGCCAAAACCATAGAAGTTTGCCATGTAGAGGAGATCCTTGACCTTTCACAGAATCCAGTACCGCGCACACGAGCAGCGGCCCCTTAACGCACATTGACAAGGCATCTCGTGCCGCTGTTGAGGCCCGCAAGGGCAGCGTGCATCCGTGGTTAATGTTCTTCAATGTAGACTCGACGATATTTTGACCATTTAATACTGGTCTCCATCCCCTCAGCACAGTGTCCTGTTCTGCGAGCCATCTGCACGCTTGGTATCAACGCTCTTGTCAATCTCTGTAGAGGGCTGCAACAGTGCACTCGCTGGTTGTGACGGCTCCTCACTCGGGCTTGGGAATTTTCGCTCTTTTTCTCGCAGGGGATTTTATCTCCCTCCAGCTTACTGTACCAGCTGGCAGATACATGGTGCCCTCCTGTCGCCGCTAAATTGTTTCCAGGCACTTCCAAGTTTATGTTCAACTGCACCGACTGAAATTTGTTCTACGCCTTTTTGACAGCACCCAGAAGACTCTGGAGGACGACAGGGCCAACTGTCATGACTTTCCCGGTTGCAAAAGAAATTGTTCAATTCAATACTCGATACTCTACGCCCTTGCTGCTCCAGACACCGCCTCATCTGCCCACTCTGGTCCACAGCAGCAACTGCTCTGCTAGGGCCAGCGACTGTAGCCCTGTTGCATAAGGGCAAAAAAGCAGCCGCTGTTTTAGCTGTAGTTATCGAATTTCCTACTCGAGCCACTAGTGGCAAGAAAAAGTGAGGGTGAGTTATGCTTCTGTTTGCTTGTAGCAGATCATACATTCTCAATGTTTGCCTCCGTGTCCCATTATCGAAACTTTCATGGTAGACATGTGGCCACTGCTTATGACGGGTGTTTGGATATCCTCTGGTATGTTTTAGAGGCTCTCTTCCTAGCCTTTTTATAAGCTTTCATTATGCCTTCTAGCGGCGTTCCTACATCTCGTGGTGGCGTCTCTCGAAAAAGGCATCCAAACGATTGTTAAAAATCATGTTTAGGCATCGATCACCTTTCCGTAGTTGAGAAATAACTGCTGACCATAATTACGTGGACCTGACGCGGCTTGAGTGTCCTCTACCAGCGGCCGTACGTCTTTCATACTGCTGAATTTCCACTTAGTCGATTGCTAATATTTTGGACGCAGCAATTGCTCTGCGGACTCACAGTGTGCTCGTCCAAAAGGTCTGCCCCTGCGCTGCCTGGTCAGCCATACAGTACGGAATGCAAACACTTATGAACATGACTGATGCGCTTTTGGCCCAGCCTTTGGAGTTCCTTGTTCCCATCATGTCTATAATTCGAAGGCACAGGGGCTCTTACTTCTCTTCAGACATCAAACTAAGCCTCACTTCCCTACTACAATGCAGCTCAGACGCAACTGGCCAATCCATTGGCAGCTAGCAGCCAGAGTAGAAAGTTAGTATGCATTCTAAGCAGGCATATGAGGCCTGCAGAGTTAGGGACCATGCTACGTTCAAGCTGGTTGTGACTCTGCTTTTCTAAGACCCGTGAGGGACTTCAAGCTGCCATTACGAATTATTTAATAACTACTGGCAGCAAAATGCCTGCGGGCTTTAAGGGGCTGTTGCTTTTTGCTGCTTTTTAGCTTTTATGTTTATCCCCAGTTGCTGCCTGCACGTGAGCAGTTGAAGATTGGGTTCAACAGCGCTGCTAGTCGTACCAAAGCTTAGCAACTGGTGCAGCAAACTATCTTAATAGGCAGCGCACGCAGGCATTTCTACTGAGGACTTTGGGTGTTTTCTGTGGCCATTTCAGAGATGGCAAGATCAACTTGCACAACATATAATTGCCAAATGGTAAAGAGCAGGTTTAACTTTCACTCTGCAACTGACAGCCCTTGCCCTGTATTATCCCTTTCTTTCTTTTGCAAACATTTAACACTTAATGGACTTATTTAAAATTGGCTGCGACGATATTTTAGCTGCAGCAGGCGGGCGAGGCGGCCGCAGAATTTGGCCCGAAACGGCGTGGCAGCGCCTCCAGCTGCACTTGCAAGAATGCGGCGGCGGATAGAGGCGAACTGCCCCTAATCTGGGGTTCTTTTTAGTTTTTTTAACAAATTAAAAAGGCAAATTGCCGCATTAATTGGCTGCAGAAGCTTCTTAGCCCGGCGCCACACACACACCTCGCACGAGTCGGCTGCGCCCCCCTATTCGCGGGCGCAGCGGGAAGAGCGGGTAATGTCTTTCCCTCCCTTCTTGATCTGCCCCTTTCTACGGATTTAAAGTTTGAAAAAAGACTTAGCAGCAAAAGGAGGACTTGGAGTTTGAGTTGCGCTGGCTTCCGCTGCGCTGGGTCCGTGTTGCAAGGGGGACGGGGAGAGGGGCCTGTGCTGCGTTGCTGCGGCTTTGTGGCACTTGTCTCAGTGCTGCAGGCTCCAAATAGTTCAAACTTTGCTTCAGTTTTGAATGTCTTTGCCCTTAATTTCCTCGCAGCACTCGCAGGACTAGTTTTCGCTGCAGCGGCTTGACGGAGCTGCTGCGCACATAGGTGGTGGGAGAGCCGGCGGGCGCGCATTTCCGATTTCCCTGGCCTTTCCGCGGCCTTTTGGGTCTTTTTTTTGTGGCATTTTGGATTTCCTTTTGTTTGCTTTTCAAGGAAAACGCGGAGCCGCAGCTTTAGCCTGCGATGCAGCGCCGCCCCGCCGGCCCCGCGCCCGCCGGACAGCCGTTTGCACTTGCAAGTCTGCATTTTCCGCGGCTTTGAGCCATTTTCCCAGCTTTCTGCAGGCCCCCTGGCCTGAAGCAGCACATTTAATACATTTAAATACCCAGCAGCAGCAATTTGCTGCGCAGCAGCCCCACAATGAAGCTGGAAGCTGCGCGCCAGCTCATCAGCAGCAAACTCCAGTCCATTCGCATGGAAGATGGCACTCTCGTTTACCACACTCTCCAGTTTCTTGTCGAGTCCGAAAGAGGTCCTCTTTGGAAACAATACCTTCTCAACCCTTCCATTTCCTTCGACGATGTCGTCTACGTCTTCGTCGTGAGTCCCGCTGCTGCTGCTGCTGCTGCTGCTGCTGCTGCTGCTGCTGCTGCTGCTGCTGCTGCTGCTGCTGCTGCTGACTGAGCCACAGCGTCCACTGGAAGCGTTGCTGAAGCGGACGGCCGCAGCAGCGAAGGGCGCGTGCGCGCTGCAGCGCAGCCCTCATGGCCGCTCCTGCCGCTGTTGTTGCTGCTGCTGCTGCTGCTTCTGCTGCTGCTGCTGCTGCTGCTGCTGCAGTGCTTCATCGTGGTGATGATCCTGCGGCTGGTCATCAGCGGCGGCAGCAGCGGGGCGCTGCGGCAGCTGCCCTGCATTTCGAAGCGGATTGCAAAGTCTTTCGATTTGGTCCGCCCGGGGAAGCTGCACAAGTTCGGGGAGAATGTCTGGTGGGTCCTCAGCAGCAGCAGCAGCAGCAGCAGCAGCAGCAACTGCAGCAGCAGCAGCAGCTGCTGCTGCTGCTGCAGGGCACTTGAACAGCTGCGGAAGCGACCAGTCCGAATCGCCTCCCTGCCGCTGCACTGCTGCTGCGCTGCTGCACTGGTGCGCTGCGCTGCTGCGCCGCTTTGCCGCCTGCTGCTGAGCTGCTGCTGCTGCTGCTGCTGCTGCGCTGCTGGTGTGGGGCAGGTACACTATATGGCACGGCAGCGCCTGCGTGTGGGGCTTTTATGTGCTGCTGCAAGAATTCGGAACTAAAGAAGTCCCTGGATGGCCCCGGCTGCACATGCAGCAGCCCGACGGCCGCTGGTGAGCTGCTGCCGGACACGCCCACCGCGCTGCTGCTGCTGCTGCTGCTGCCGCTGCTGCTGCTGCTGCTGCTGCTGCTGCCTTGTCCTTGCTGCTGCTGGCCTTCTGCCTCGCTGGCGCTGCTGGCGGTCTTCCCTCGCTGCTGCTGCTCCCGCCCGCGCTGCGGGACCCCTTCGCCCGTGCTGCTGCCCCGCAGCAGCAGCAGCAGCAGCAGCAGCAGCAGCAGCAGCAGCGCGTTTGCTGCAGGTACTGGATGAGCGCGCCGGAAGAACTGCAGCGGGGCTCCGGGGGCTGGCCGCTGCTGCTGCCGTCAGTGTCGACGCGGAATTATTATCTTTTTCAACTTTCTTTTTGGCTAAGTTGTTTGGCATTTATAAATGTGGAAACTCGAAGAAGAGATTTTGCAATTCTTTTCATTCACCACTTCGTCACCATCATGCTCGTCGTCTTCTCCTACTGCTGCTCCTACTGGAAGATCGGACTGGTACTTCTTTTTTATTTATTTTCATTTATTTTTATTTTATTTATTTTATTTATTTTATTTAGTTTCCGAACTTTCAAGTTTTATTCTTTTAATTTCATTTAATTTCATTTTCAACTCCGCACTGCGCTCCCACGCTGCGCCCAGCGGCGCGGTGTACGTACACCTCGCGCGGTCTCGCGACCCCAGGCGCCTGCCACTCAAACAGCAGCAGCAGCAGCAGCAGCAGCTGCTGCTGCTGCTGCTGCTGCTGCTGCAGCTGCTGCTGCTGCTGCATTCCCAGCTGCTGTGCATCCGCGCAACCTGCTCGAAGCTGAAAAGCCAGCTGCCCCCCCTCCCTCCCCTGCACCGCCGCTGCTGCTGCTGCTGCTGCTGCTGCTGCTGCTGCTGCGCAGGTGGTGCTGCTGCTGCACGACGCAGCGGACGTGTTTCTGTATTTGTCGAAGTCGCTGCACTACAGCCGCGTGGGTTCGGGGCTGGTGGAGTTGTCTTTTTGTCTTTTTGTAATTATTTATTTCACAACAAGACTTCTTCTTTTTCCCTTTTACTGCGTCAAACCCACTCTCAACACTCAACTCATCAGAGCCCTCACGCAGGACTTCGTCGAGTCTCGCTGGCGCATCCCCGGCGGCCTCGTCCTCCCCTGGTTCCTCGTCGTCCTCCAGGTCCGCATGCATGCATGCATGCATGCATGCATGCATGCATGCATGCATGCATGCATGCATGCATGCGCATGCATGCATGCGTGCATGCATGCGTGTTGCATGCATGCATGCGTGCATGCATGCGTGCATGCGTGCGTGGGTGCTGGGTGCATGCGCGTGCGGGTGCATGCGTGGGTGGTATATATACATGTGTATATGTATGTGTATAAGTAAATATATTATATATATTATTATTATATATATTATATATTATATGTATGTATATATGTATGTGTATAAATAAATGTATTATATATATTATATATATGTATATATGTATGTGTGTACATAAATATATTATATATATTATATATATGTATATATGTATGTGTATAAATATATGAATATATATATGTATATTTGTATGTGTATAAATAAGTGTATTATATATATTATATACATGTATATCTGTATGTGTATGAATATATATAATATATATTTATATTTATATAAATATATATTATATATATTCATATTCATGAATATGTATAATATATATTTATATTTATATATATATTTATATATATATGGCGCCATGAGCCGGACTCCGTTTCCTTTCTGATTCATTTTTATTTAATTTAATTTAATTTAATTTTGTTTAATTTAATTTAATTTAATTTGAATTAATTTGATTTATTTTATTTTTCAGGTTTTGCACATTTACTGGTTCTGGTGCATCATAAGAATGGCCGTGGGCCTCATCACAGCTGTCCGCAGTAAGTGAAGCCCCAGTGCTGCTGCTGCTGCTGCTGCTGCTGCTGCTGCTGCTGCTGCTGCTGCTAACTTCTGCTGCTGCTGGTGCTGCCAGACTCACTCTGTCGTAAATTTAAATTGACAAATTGCTGCTGCTGCTCCTGCTGCAGCCAGACTCACTGCTTCATGAATTCAAATAAAGTCGCCGCTGCTGCTGCTGCCAGACTCTCTCCTGCTGCTGCCGGACTCTCTCGTTTACCAGCTCAGACTAACGAATTGCTGCTGCTGCTGCTGCTGCTGCTGCTGCTGCTGCTGCTGCAGATGGGTCGCGAGAGGACTGCGAGGACGTCCGCAGCGAAGACGAAGATGAGGGAGAAAACGGAAGTGAAGAAGGAAAAGCTCCAGCAGCAAAGAAGCAACAATGACTTTGGCATTTGCTTCTCCGAGCGGCGAAGTCCCGCGCTGCTGCTGCTGCTGCTGCTGCTGCTGCAGCAGCTGCTGCTGCTTGTAGCCCTCATCTGCGCTGGCGAAAAGATCAGCGTGACCACTTGATCTTCGGCTCTGCGGGGGGCACTGGGAAGCGCAGCATTATTTGCTGCTGCAGCAGCAGCAGCAGCAACAGTCGCAGCAGCAGCAGCGGCAGTCGCAGCAGCAGCAGCGGCAGTCGCAGCACCAGAGGCAGTCGCAGCGACAGTCGCAGCAGCAGCGACAGCGAGAGCGGTGGGAGCCGCAGCCGCAACAACAACAGTCGCTGCAGCAGCGGCAGCAGCAGCGGCAGCAGCAGCAGCAGCAGCAGCGGCAGCAGCAGCAGCAGCGAGAGCAGCAGCAGCAGCTCTTTAGAAACTGCGTAATCTGCGTTGCCCCAAAAACCCTGCGGCTCTTTTTGTCGCTTCAATGACTGCTTTGTCTCTTAAGCTTCAGCGCTTTTGCTTCTCTGCTGCTGCAGCAGCTAGCACCATTTGCTGCTCTGCTGCTGCAGCAGCTAGCACCATTTGCTGCTCTGCTGCAGCAGCAGCTAGCACCATTTGCCGTTCTGCTGCAGCAGCAGCTAGCACCATTTGCCGTTCTGCTGCTGCAGCAGTTAGCACCATTTGCTGCTCTGCTGCTGCAGCAGCTAGCACCAGTTGCCGCTCTGCTGCTGCAGCAGCTAGCACCATTTGCTGCTCTGCTGCTGCAGCAGCTAGCACCATTTGCTGCTCTGCTGCTGCAGCAGGTAGCACCATTTGCCGCTCTGCTGCTGCAGCAGCAGCAGCTGCAGCAGCAGCAGCTAGCAGCGTTTGCTTATCTGCAGTAGCAGCAGCAGCTAGCACCATTAGCTTATCTGCAGCAGCAGCAGGGGCTAGCAGCGTTTGCTTCTCTGCAGCAGCAACAGCGTTTGCTCCACTGCAGCAGCAGCAGCAGCTAGCAGCAGTGGGGCAGCAGGCAGTCTGCGGCTAGTGTCTGTACACCTCAGATGCAAAATAAAAAGTCTCAAGTGCCCCGCGCCTTTGCTTTGAATGTTCGTGCTGCAGCTGCAGCTTAAGCAGCAAAAAGCTACAGCAGCAGCAGCAAAACAAGGGAATCGCGCGGTCCCTGCTGGCTGCTGCTGCGCTGCTGCTGCTGCTGCTGCTGCTGCGCACTTTGCGTGGCATTTACAGATAAAAAATGTCGACTGAGCGAAACGCGTAGCGCCCTGCAGCAGCAGCAGCAGCTGCTGCTGCTTGGAGCCGCAAGCAGCAGCAGCAAATGCAGCAACTGTAACAACTACAGCAGCAGCTGCAGCAACTGCCGCAGCACCTGCTGCTTAGAAGCACATGCAGCAGACGCAACAACACCAGCAGCAGCTGCAGCAGAAGCTGCTGCTTTGAGCCACATGCAGCAGCTGCAACAACAGCAGCAGCTGCAGCAAGTGCAGCATTTGCTGCAGCAAATGCTGCAGCAGCCGCTGCATAGAGCCACACGCTGCAGCAGCAGCAGCTGCTGCTGCTGCTGCTTAGAGCCACAACTTGAAGATGTAGCTGAGCAGCAGCAGCAGCAGCGGCAGCAAATAAACCCACCAGGGGCTCTTCGTGGTCTCAATTTTCATCTTTTGTGTCCTCGTGTAATTAATAAGGACCCTCCAGTACTTGTCATTCTCCTGCAGCAAAATCTTCTCTTGGGGGCCCCCCTGGGGGCCCCCAGGGGGGCCCCCCTGGGGGCCCCCCCGGGGGCCCCCCGGGGGGGCCCCCAGGGGGGCAGCTAGGGGGGCCCCCAGTTCTGGGAAAGCAAATAGACAGGAGGCCCCTAGTGCTGCCCAGCAGCCCTCTTGTCCAAAAAGGAATTCTAGGCGAACTCTTTCGCTGCCATCTGCTTCTTTTGCTGCTGCTGCTGCTGTTGCTGCTGCTGCTGCTGCTGCAGCAGCGGGAGGGGGGGCCAGCTCGGCGAGCAGCACTGCGGCGCCGTGGGCCTGCTGCTGCTGCTGCAGCAGCAGGGGCTTGTGCTGCAGCGCGACCAGCCGCCGCTGCTGCAGTGACACGGCTGCAGCAGCAGCTGCTGCAGCAGCTGCTGCAGCAGCTGCTGCAGGGGCCCCCTCGCCACCCCACAACTCCTCCAAAGAGCTGCTCAAAGAAGCAGCAGCTCCTCTTGCCCAATCAGCAGCAACAGCTTCTGCTGCTGCTCTCAAAGTTTGCTGCTTGAAGCTCACGGAGACTCCCATGAGGATCAAGCTGCAGCGGACAGCAGCAAGCGGCGCCGGCGCCTCCTGCTGCTGCTGCTGCTGCTGCTGCTGCAGCTGCTGCTGCACCTC